CGCCAGTGTCCGGCAGCCTCGCCTCTGTCAGTGCGCCCCAGGGTGGCTGTGGCTACAATGTAGCTGCCATCACCAGTGTGTGAATGTGTGTGTGAATGGATACGTAAAGCGCTATATAAATACAGGCCATTTACCATATCCTGAAACCCTTACGCAGAGCTTACTCCATAACCTGACTTGCACTCTCAGTACAGCTAATGTCACGTTGGTACAGCCCACAATTACTGTGAATATTTCCTCACATTTCCAGCTGCTTCTGTCACCATTTTTCACCTTGATCGGCAGAATGGATCAGTTTGAACTGACTAATGTATAGTATGAATGTAATGTAAGTGCTACAGTTGAACCTTGTGTAGGCTACACCGATGTAGAAGTTGAGCTTAAGAAGAGTGGACTATCTCCAAGACTTAGAAGAACTATGGAAAAAGGTCTCAAAGTTTGAAGAATCTTAAAATGAGATCATGCTTTAGCTGAACAAAGTGGCCAATGAGACCTGAGACGTGCTTCCTGAAGTTTAAAAATCTTCGGGGCACACGTCTGCCCCATTCCAGCACCGCGTTAGTAAGACTGGGAAAGATATGACATTGAACATCAGAGACATGGCACAGATGTCCGTTCTGCATCTGGGATCCTGTTTTCTGTTCAAAGCTACTCCCTGCATATATTTGATGTATAAATAATGGATCCATATCTCGATGATGTGCTGTGACAGCTGGGTGCAGAGCGTGTACTGTGTGGTGTTCCGGTGTCAAACCACCCAATCAGCAGTCATCTTCTGAACACGCCGCTCTTGTCTGGATGTGTCTCCCCTCATGTTTATGGATGCTCTCCCAGCACGCCGAAACCAGGGGGCGATGTTCAAACGGCATCGCTAACGACATCGTCCGCTTCCCCCGAGAGCCTTCCCGTCTCCCTGAGCTCCTCACCGCCTCGCTGTTTTCATACCTCATTTACTGCCTTCCTCATCACTCCCCCCCTTCATGCCCCGCTATAAGCTCCGTCTGTCTGTAGTCAGTCTGTTGTTGGAGATGAAACGGGATGAGGGAGGGAGAGTCTCACCGCTGTGACCTTCAGCGTTTCAGAAAATGAAGGAGACAGCTGCAGCCATTACAGTAACGCACTCCTGTCTGCATAAAGGCAGCAGCCATCGGCTGTCTTTATATCCCAGCTTCTTAATTCATCCAGAAAATTTAAATTACTCCTCATTTAATGTCCTCTGAGCCGAGGCAACAGTTCAGACATTTATCAGGAGGAAAAATGTGGAAATGGCAAAACATCAGTACAGAAGCATCAATGAACCGTTGAAATGAAAAGTGGTTTGTGTTGGACCTGGACTAACATGACAATGTTTCAGTTTAGTTTTTAAAACGAACCAAACTAACAATGACTAAAAATATTACAACTTTTCTGTGTTTATTCTGTTTTAAGCACACAGCGTAGTTTTAACTGTAGAAAGTATAAATGTTGTTACTTCCTTAAGATGAGTGTTTACGCTGAACCTGGATGGCGAGGGCCGGATCTCAACAAGAAACCGTACGATGGCAGAAAAACTGTACGTTAGCCAGTGAGCATAACCAGCCTTTGACTCTTAATGGACTTTTATTAAGTATGATCTGAGTGAGTCCATGAACCCATCCAAGCGGTAACACCGGTCATGGCCATGGGTCATTTTCCCCGTCATGTTACAACATTGAAAAGAATGCAAGTTTAAGGCACTTCCACATTAGTTCAAGTAGATTGTCGGTGAGAGAAAAGGGTCAATTTCCTTGATGTAATATTCATGTGAGATGCGACTTCCCTTCAGCAGCTGATGTTTCAGGTCGAGCGTGCCTCTAACTGTGTTGTGTGTCCTCCCTGCAGTATTCGTCAGCCGGCTGCCCGCTGTCTCTTCACCACAGCGAGAAGCCCGATCACGAGGAGGTGTGCGAGTTCAGGCCGTACACCTGCCCGTGCCCAGGAGCCACCTGCAAGTGGCATGGCTCACTGGAGGCCGTCATGCCTCACCTCATGCACGCTCACAAGTCCATCACCACGCTGCAGGTCAAGATCCAAACTTTGATTCTACAGACACACAGTATGGGGTAGAAACACGGGCAAAGTGGGAACCATCTTTGTTTGCAGCCTGTCCTTCTGACTGTTTCTGCACTTTGGGGCTTTAACACAATGCATCCACAATGAATGTCGAGCTGTCATGTCAGCGTTCCAACCGTTAACCAGTGTAAAGCCCTGCATTCAGTATCAGTGGAACCTCTGAATCAAACGAAAGCGCCGTTTGAAGTAAGCAGCAGATTTAACTACTCACCAACTGAACATGCAGGATGTAGTTGGAACGCAGCTAGGAGAGATTTCAGGACATCCTACACATCAGGTGTACAAGCTGCTGAGACAAACAATGTAAATTATTAAGGAATCCTCAGCAGCGAAACAGAGAAACACGGCACTGTGTAGAAACGGATCACAAGTGTTCTTAACTGTGTGACCTTCGTGTAAGTGAACGTTTCACCTTTTCTGCTCACGTCTCTGACACCACAGCACTTCCTGGTTCTTCAGCTTGTTTTCCTCGTGATTTCAGGTGTGAAGTGTGAAAACGTTGAGTTCTTCCTAATCGGTTCTTGTTTCCGTGCTGCAGGGGGAGGACATCGTTTTCCTGGCGACGGACATCAATCTGCCGGGCGCCGTCGACTGGGTGATGATGCAGTCATGTTTCAGCCACCACTTCATGCTGGTGCTGGAGAAGCAGGAGAAGTATGAAGGTCACCAGCAGTTCTTTGCTGTCGTGCTGCTCATCGGCACCCGTAAGCAGGCCGAAAACTTCGCTTATCGCCTGGAGCTAAACGGCAACCGGCGCCGGCTCACCTGGGAGGCCACGCCGCGCTCCATCCACGATGGCGTGGCCGCCGCCATCATGAACAGTGACTGCCTGGTCTTCGACACCTCCATCGCCCATCTGTTCGCTGACAATGGTAACCTGGGGATCAACGTCACCATCTCCATGTGCTGACGGAGCCGAGGGGAGCCTCCTGCCGAGGGAGGAGTTAAGGAGGTGCAGAGTGCACCTGCTGACAGCCTCAGTTGGAGTCGTTCGAGGAGTCGGCTCAAACAGTCAGCAGCAGCCCTTTGACCTCTGTGGTCAGCTAACGATGGACGTGGGGCAGAATGTCCTTTGGTTACCTGTCTGGAAACGAGGGCGTCACCTGGAGCCTCCAACACTCTGCTCGATGGAGGAACGGTCGGATCTGCTGGTTCGACCGCAGCCAGGACGTCTGGCCTGGTTAGAGATTAAACTCCCGAGGACTCGGTCCTCATTGGTGGAAGCAAACACTTCTCTCTGCCGAAGCGGCTCCCTCTTCCTGCGTCGGGTTAATCGGCTTCCTGTCAGGCCGGCGTGTTCACAATATTCTGCTCTGCAGTTCTGGTGCTATCAGACTGAGTTTACGTTCTTCACCAGCAGAGGCCAAATACACCACGACTGTTACGACATTCACAGTTAATGGTTCAGGAAACGCTCTGATAACGTTCACGTCTGATTAGTTTACAGAGAGATTCTGAACATGCAGAGTTCAGCCGTGGCTTCTTTATTGGTTAATGTGCAGATTATTTATTGTTTTGGCTTTTTTCTTGAAAGGAAGTGGAGAATGTAAAGATATTTGCTTTAGTATCACATAACAAAGAAATCATCCAGTGATTATAGGACAGAGCGGAAAATGAGTCGAACCCAAAAATATTCAGGAAATATTATTCAAGGTGAATTTGACTTATTTCAATAATCTCTGTGCACTGAAGGAGTTGGTGAAAACTATCTACATGTCCATAGAGGTGAGGCATGTGAACATGTTTATTTCTGCTGTAACGTTTTAGTATGAAAGAGGATAAATGTCCTTTTAAGACTGGAATTTAAAGCAAAATGAGGAATTAGACACTTTTAATCCGAGGAAAATGTTTGTCTGATTCGTTAGTTTTCTTTGTCACGTGTCAGTAAATTAAAAACTCTCATTCTCATTGGCTGTTTCCTCACACTTTTTTAAACCTTTTTGATAAACTCAGTAAAGAAAGGGCCGTGGGTCGGGCTGTCAGCTGTGTTTTTAATATGCACATATAGAAAATGATCTGCAGGTTAATCCGTCTGTCTTCATAAAAAACAAATACTGTGAAAAAGCTCCACAGACCTGGAGTCAGCTGGTGGAAGAAGGCTGCCAGCAGTTCAGGTAAAGCAGAGTAATGTGAACACCAGCATTCTGACTGAGAGGTTGCCGGTTCAGATCCCTGCAGCTGCAGATGGTGACTGATGGCGGGTCTCTGACTGGAGGTCGGCCTTTGACCTGAGCTGTGCTCAGTTAATCCTCAGACTTTCTTTAATCTCTGATAAAAGCAGTAAAATGGAGGAATAATCCTCCCGTCCCTCCTCCTGCAGTCCGTTTAGCCGCCAGCGCCTTACTTTTCTACCGCTAACCACCTCCTCCCATTCACCCGCTTTCTAAAGGGGCCTTGGTGCTGATGTGCTGCTTCTGGGAAACAGAAAAACGCAACGATGAGTTCAGAAGAACGGAGAGCTGCTCGTCTGCTCAACGCCACAGAGACACGACCGACACAAACTTGTATTTATGTGGGTTTTAAAAACTAAATTCCTTCTCGTGAAACCGTCATAGCAACTGACCAGAAAGATACCTCTGACCACAGACATGTCTGTAACTGAACCGCAAAGCCCTCCGAGCTCAGCGGCGTTTCCTCTGTGTTCATGAAGATGAAGAAAAGTCCAAAATAAGCCGATTTCTTCCCATCATTCATCCAAGTGTCTCATCCAGCTCTGGATTTTCTTTAGAGAGTAGCTTTGTATGATTCAGAGTTACATCTTATTCTGATTGGCTGACTTCTGCTTTTGAGCTGTAATCATTAGATTTCTGTGCTTGTAGAAAAACCCAGCCGGCTCCTTCGTACCTGCTCGATGATTATCGTGTTTCTGTGGTGTGTTATGCTTGACTGGTGGGTCGTGAACAGAAAACTGCAAATTTGAGCTTATTTGTCATAAAACTTGTCACATCCCACATTTCCAGAGTGGGCAGGAAAAAGGCTTATTCTAATATGACTGCTGTATGTGCGCACAGTAGAAACACAGAGCAAACACTGCTGTCTCTTTGTCTCCAGGTGTGGTTACCTCGACACGAGTGTCCCGGTTTCAGGGTCCCGTTTTTCCATTTGTGGATCATTTTGTGATTGTTCAAAGTTCAAAGTTCAAAGTGCTCGCTGCAGTTTGATGTGAATCTTTGATCACAAACAATGAGAGCAGGAAACATCCTCCCAGTGTTGGAGTGACGAAGAAACCTTTTTACTCTTCGGATGAAAGCACGTTTACTTCCACATAGCAAAGAAGTTTTATGGCACCATGAGAAAAATGCTGACACACACACACACACACACACACACAGTGCAAAGGTCTTGAGCCTCCATCATGTGTTCATATTTGAATGAGGGTTTTCCAGCCTCTGAATGCCAACAAAGAATCAGACTCTGTTTTAACAGCCTTGGAAATGAAGCATGAGGACGCACAGGGAGGTCCACAACCCGGGACGCTCGTGTCCACAGACACACTCAACAATCATCACTTTCACGCCGACTTTCCATGAAATATTGTGAGATATTGTAAATGAAGCTAAAGTGACAGTCTATTTTCTAAAGATTTATTCCTCCCACTCTTTGTGTTCACTCGTATTTGTGCTGCTGTTTCAGATTTCCAGAGTACGTTTTCTACGCTCACGGTGATGTTTCTGTTGTAAAGCTCAGTTTGTGATGTTTCTGTAATAAACAGGTTTGTTTACGCTGACCTTCATGTTGCTATTCCTCCTTCCATTAATGAACTGAACTTCTCCTCATCGTTTGGAGTACACCAAAATATTTTAACATTTCAGTTCGAAACCATCAGTAAAAAAATGAGCATCAAATTTTTTACCATATTTGGAAAAGAGGGTGGTGTACGTATTAAACTGGCTTCACTTTGAACTTAGGCTGATGCTGTGTACTTACACGATTTAGTCTTTAAGAAAATACCAGGACACTAAATATTAAAGTTGTTTTCATCTTTTTCACATATTTTGCTGCTTTTGCTCAAAGTTTAGGCTTTTTTTTGTTTTATTTTTTACATTTTTTTTTAGGTACCTGCTAAGTGCCAGAAAGACACTGTAGTTTGAGGACGTTCCCTCAGGAGCAGGTTCAAGTTGTCTCTGAATCCATCCTGTGACCATATTTATGACACAGTAACAGAAAAAGAAACTTTTGTGCAAAAACTCGCAGTTCAAAAACTATTTTGATAAAAGATACGATCTTGAATTTGGAAGGACTGGGTCACAATCCAAATTTCACAAATTTATTTGCTCCAGAGTGACAGGAAGTGGAGATGTTGTCATGGCAACAATTCTGAGGACTGAAGCTCAACTGACAGCTGAGCTTATTAGAATCTGACGGAGTCTTCAACAGGCACCTTAACTCAGTTTAGCTTACAGCAGCAGTTTCTTCAAGGTGCTTTGTATCGTAAGGTGAGGACTCTACAATAATAAGGAGAAAACCCCCAAAATCAGACGACCCTGATATTAGCAAACACTTGGCAACAGTGGGAAAGAAAAACTCCCTTTTAACAGGAATCTCCAGCAGAACCAGGCTCAGAGAGGGGCGGGGCCATCTGCTGGGGGTGAGGGGAGGACGACAGGACAAACAGCCAGAGATTAATAAAAAGTTTAAGTCATGTTATCATCCATCCTTCCAAGTACGGATGGATGATTCAATGCAGAGAGGTCTATTAACACAGTGAGTGAGAAAGGTGACTGGAAAGGAAAAACTCAATGCATCATGGGAATCCCAGGCAGCCTACATCTATTGCAGCATAACTAAGGGAGGATTCAGGGTCACCTGGTCCAGCCCTAACTATATGCTTTAGCAAAAAGGAAAGTTTGAAGCCTGATCTTGAAAGTAGAGATAGTGTCTGTCTCC